ATTAAGCTACACAGAATTTTAAAGTGTAAATCTTTGACAAGAAATTAATTTACTAATAATAATTAATAATTCTGAGCATTTATAAACTATAAACTGAGCATAAGACTGAGTATACAAAGATAAGCAAAATATGTTATGCCAGCCAGAAGGAAACATAGAGTAGTAGAGGAGACAAAAACTTAAAAAACCTAACATGGTAAAAACTTTAACCGTTAAACCATATGAAATAAAAATCACACATAGTAATTAAAAATTACAAAATCCAATTTACATTACACATAAAATCTATTATTTTCCAATATCTTGCTGTAATTTCTGGCCAAGTGCTGAACTGAGAAGCTCTGAAAAATGCTCTGTGATTACTATAGGTAAGAAGTAATAATACTTTATAAAATAAAACACTATAAAGCAATAAACATCAAACTACCTAGACCTATTTATATTTATAAATGGAAAAATTATAAATAAACACTAGCTTCTGTCAATATTATACATTGTATACATATGTATATATTACTGGTGCATACAACTGGAACATTCTTAAATTAGGCAGTGCTTGTATCTATCTTATATTGTTCACACTATTATTTCAACCTCAATTTCCTAACCTAAAATCAACCTAAATTTCCAGTTTTAATCAGAAGAAACAAAAATCACATTGATTTTTGCAATATGTATTGAAACCTTAAAAATACTTACCCTTTTCACCTAGTAATTTCACTTCTGACAAGTTAGTATATGGAGAAAAAGCTTTCTGCACAAAGATGTTAACTGAAACATTATCTACGTTAAAAATCTGAAAACAACCTAAATGTGCAACAATCAGGAAATTGCTAAATTAACTACACGGTGCATCCACTTTATAAAGTATTACAATAACATTAAATTATGGTTTTGAAGTCTGAGTAAAACAGACAAAAGTGTATCATATGCAAAATGGGAAAATGTTGAATAATCACAGTGTGAGTACAATAATGTTTTTGTTTGTTTTATTTTTGAAGACTATTTTTTGCTCAATGCAGAATTCTAGGTTGGCAGTTAATTGTTTTGGTGGTGGTGGTGGTGGTGGTGGTTGAGAGGGGAGCAGGGAGGGAGAAAGAAAGAAAGAGGAACATCAATATGAGAGGCAACAGTCTCTCGTACACACCTCGACCAGGGACTGAACCTGCAACCGAGACGTGTCCTGACCAGGAATCGAACCATTTGCTATGAGGGACAACGCCAAAAACTGAGCCACACCCGTCAGGGCTGCTTTCAGCATTTTAAAATGTTGGCTCATTTGTTGTCTTCTGGTGTCCATGCAATAATGTCTTAAAAAGTTAAATAAAAATGAAAGAAAAGAAATACATCAAAATGTCTTTCTCTGAAAAATGTAAAAAATAAGAAGAAAGTAATAAATTTGCATTACTTTACAACAGCAAAATAAAAATACTCATTTACTTATATTTTGGCAATGGAAAAACTAAAAGAAAGTAAAAAAAAAAGTTCCTTTTCTTAAAATAATATAATATTGCCACCTAAATCTATAAACTGGTATCCGTATAAGATGGGAACAGTAACTATTTTATTCATTTCTGAGGTGGAGAAAATATGCACAGCAAGAAACCTTCCAAAGGTCCCCATAGACTATGAAATAAAATGCAGACATTAAGCTACTTATAACATAATTTAAATTCTTTTGTAAATGAAATATTTGGTCATTGTAGAAAATCAGGAAATAGGTAGATAAGCAATATTTCGTAATTAAAATTACTTCACAACCCCCATCCCCAGAAATTACCACTGGTAACATTTTAGAGAATTAACAAACACACTCCCATATGTTCTTATTTAGCCCCATGGCTTTACATACTATTACTAAGCCAATGACTTCTGAATTTCCAGAAACTCACACTCATTCTAGACATAATCCAATTGCCTACCTGACCTCTGCACTTTCATGTCTAACAGACATGACAAACTTAACATTTTCCCAAACTAAACTTCCTGATGACCACCCAAACAGCTCCTCCTGTGGCTTAACCCATCTATGCTGGTTTTCTACAGCTAGGTAACAATCTATGGCTGTTGTCAGGAAGCCTCAGTTCCATATAACATGGACTCTTCTTTATGGCTGCTTACAGCATGGTAGCTGGCCTCCTCCCAAGGGGGTGAATCCAAGAGAGAGAAAGCAAGGCCCAATGCCAATTAGGATCTAGCTGTGAAGTCACACATGTTCACTTCCACCATAATCTACTCTTTAGGAGCAAGTTAAATTCAGCCGACAATTCAAAGGGAAGTAAATTAAGTTCCCCCTCATGAAGAGAGAAACATCAAAGAATATTATAAAACCACTATAGCATCTTAGTTGATCAAAATTCCTTGTCTCTCATCCAATCTGTCAGAAAATCATTCTGGTTCTACTTTCAAAATATATCCACGGTCCTGCTATTTCTCTCCCATACCATTATGAAGGGCATGAAAATCTCTTTCTTGAGCTGCTGAAGTACCCTTCTGCTCCTACTTTTGCCCCTTATGGTCTATTCTTCACACAGCAGCCAGTGCAACCCTCTTAGAATTTAAGTAAGGTCATGTCACTCTTCTGCTGAAACCCTGCTTGGTTCCCCATTCTCTCAGAGTAAAAGCCATAGTCTTTACATGACCTTCAAGATCCCACATAATCTGGCCTCATCACCACCTTAATCCTTCTGCTTCAGCTACCTTGGCCTCCTTCATACTTCTCTTTTGACTCTAGGTGTTCTTTCTGTTTAGAATGGTTTTTCCCCAGATATCCACTTGATTCATTACCTCACCTCGTCCAAGTCTTTACTCAAATCTCACCTTTTCAATAAGATATATCCTGACCGCTTTATAAAATGTTATAAACTATCCTGCCCCCACCCGCATTCCTGATTTCCCTTACTTGGCTCTTTTTTTTCCCCATAGCACTTTTCACCTAATGTACTATATAATTAACTGATTATTGTCTGCTTCCTCTTACTAGAATATAAGCTCCATGAGAACAGGAATCTTGCTCTGTTTTGTTCATGAAAGCATCCCACGTGCCTACAACAGTGTCTGGCATAGAGGAGCAGCTCAATAAATGTGTTGAATTAATGAACAGACATAACTTTTTTCAAAATTAAAATAATCTGGAACCTTTTTTTCCCCATTAATAAAAATGTATATAGTGAATATCTTTCCATATCACTTTTAATGGCTATTCAGTACATGGCTATATTGCCCTACCACAACTTACCTAAACAATTTTCTTTAACTGAACATTTAGATAGTTACCAGTTTTTCTCTATTATAAATAATGTAATGAATATCTCTTGATATAAGTATTTGTTACATGACTTATTTCTTTGGGAAATATTTATAGATGTAGAATTGTTGGATCAAAGGAAGTGTGCATTGTTAAGAATAAATATATTCTACTGCTCTTACCAGCAATGCATGAGAATGCTCCTTTCCCTACATCCTTACCTGGACAAGTTATTAATGAATTAAAGCAGTCAGAAAATATTGTAGAATTGCATACCTGAAACCTTTACAATTTTGTTAACCTGTGTCACCCCAATAAATTCAATAAAAAAGGAAAAAAAGGAAAAATAAAGGTCAGATAAACCTAGGTTCATATCTGGGTCTGCCATTAACAAGCTTAAATTATAGTATCTATAAAATGGGGATAATAGTTGCACCTTCCTCACCCCATTACTGTGAGTATTAAAGGAGACAATGTATATGTAAAACACTTACTTAGTACACTGTGTGACTCCCAGTAAACATTCAATAAAATGCTGAGTTTATTTCTACCATTATATGACTTAAAAGAAATCAAATTAAAGTGACCTGCACATTATTACAGGAATGCCAACCAATTAGTAACTATAATAAAGTATTTCTTTAAGGTTCAACTTTTTTAATCACTTAACATCAAATTAAAAATATTCCTAAATATAATGCAAATAAATGGGGGAAACAATAGTATTACTACCCTGTTCCTCACTTTTGTTTTCCTTTTGACAGCAAGAAACCATAACAATGGTTTACATTCCCTGGCTTGCCTTTAATGTGTACACACAGTGCACCACACCCCCAATACACACACCCAAATACAGACACTGAGAAAGGAAATGGTGTCTTAAGCAGCTGCTCCAACTGGATCAGTAACCAAGGGAACACAGTAAATTCCTAATCAAGGCCTTTCGTAGGCTAGCCACGTATAGTTCCAATTAAAACAACAAATTACTATAGGAGGAAGTGGCTATTCTTTCTCCAGCCTCAAAAAAAAAAATGCAAAAATAAATGCTTCTCATGACGCCTGACTACAGGCACTTGGTGGCCCTACCTTATCTGTGTATTCTGCTCACCTGATATAAAACTGTTAATCCTTGAGTGTATGTAACTAAAACTGCTAATGCATAGCTGTATTTTTCTCTGCCTTTCTGCCTATATAAATATCTCCTCACTCGCCTAAAGTTAGAGCACTATCAAGCCTTCTTGGAACTCTGCTCTCCGGAAATATTCTCCGATGGGCCCAAATAAAAATCTCTTCTTAAACCTACAGAGGTTCAAGTCTTCGCTTCATTGACCACCCCCCTACACACACACACACACGCCCATTTTAACGCCTTTTGTAGGTCCTGACATCCACGTCAGTCACCTCGCAAACGTCAGCTCATCCCATATGTCCCTGGGAGGTGTGCCTTGCTGGGTTATAAATTCAAACCCGTGCCAGACCCGCAATACCAAGAGCCCTGCCAAAAACAAACAAACAAAAAACAAAAAAAAAACAAAAACAAAAACAAAAAACGGCTTCTCTCCCTGTCTAAGGACTAGCAACCTGAACCCGGATGCGCCCCGGACAGGCGCGTGGGGCAGGGTCGGAGGCTGCCCGGGCTCCCGCACTCGCCCCCACGGCCAAGGCCAAGTGCAGGCCAGGAGCCCCGGCGCATCCCACGGACGCGCACCGCGCACTAGGTCGGCCAGCGCCCCTCTCCGCCCGCAGCACCCACCTAGCTCCTCGTGCCCTGCCGACTCGACCGCCGCCGGCGCCGCCGCTTCCATCTCTCTGGGGTCTCCAGGACGCCGCCGCCCCGGTGCTCGCTTTCCTGCCTCTGCGTGGCGGGCTTCAGGCCGAGATCTCCGCAACCGAACAGACCTACGCCCTGCGCCCGCCTCTGCCTGCGACGCTCCCCGCCTGCTCGCTGAGGAGCATGCGCAGGGGGGCGGGCCGGCCCGGCCCAGGAGCTGGGGCGCGAGGGGCTCTCCTGGTTGGTGTTTGGAGTCAGCTGTCAGCGAAGGGCCCCAAGGTAGCATACCCGAGTGAGGGGAGGCAAGGCGGGCGAAAGGCGGAATAACGGAAGAACAGGGGCGTTTGGAGACAACTGGAAGTTGGAGGAGAGGGGAGTCTTTAAAGATGACCACGAACTTAAATTTGAGGAGCCCATGTATTTGCAAGGCTTTAGCATTTCATAAGAAACCTTGGAGAATACAAAGTAGGAGGGGATTTGCCCCTATCCCTGTTGGGGTTGACTACTCCTTGGTTATCAGTCTCCCTATGCCCAGATTTGGAGATATAGGGTGCACTCGGGTAGAATTTAGTTTAGCCAGATAATTTCACTTTGAGGATTTTTCAGTGCTCTTTAAAGATATTTGACGTTAATCGCAGTGCTGAAAGGAAATCAAGGTTAAGAGTAATTATATTGATGGGGTGTAAAATATTCTTAAGCACTATACATGCCTTGTCTTATTTAATTCTGATGAGAAACTTGTGAGAATTCTAATGTTTCTATCCATTCCATAGATGAGGGCATTAAGGCACACAGAGCTAAGTAACTTGTCCAAGAATAGAAAACTCGCAAGTGGCAAAGATGGAATTCTATCTGCAGCTGGAGCTGGGGCTCTCATGTGGATGCCAATAAATATTTGCTGCATCAATGGATGAAGTATGTATGCTTTCAATAAGGAAAATTATTTTAATTTTAACATTGCTTTCATTCTTTCACTTCATAGTTCTTTAAAGTCAGGACACCAGACAACACTTTTTCTGTCGGTTCCATTTCCGGGGGCGGGGTCTTCTTAGAAAAGTTGTGGGGTTGGGGGGGTCTAATTTCGAGGATCACTAGTGTAACTACATGGTGATGGTGTTAAATATTTTAAATTCCGAGACTAAGAAGGTTCACAATTACATAATATCTGAATCTTTCTCCCTGTTGCATCTTTTGTAGGTTCCACTAGTGGTAATCATGGTTTCCCAAAACCCTTTGCTTTCCTTTAGGTCAACCCCAATCACTCATAAACACATGCAAACCCCAAAGAAAGGTTTTACTTAAAATGCTCCTGACATATGACAAAGATATTGGGGAGAAAACTCTACTAGATTATAACTAGAGGAATAGTCCCTAACTGGTGTTGGTGTGGGGCACCTGGTTAGAGATCAGTGAGAGAGAAGACAGGCAACAGACAGGTAATTGCTCATAAAACCACCCATTGCTGGGAGAATACTTGAGATAGTGTCTAGAAAGAGGAACATTATCCTCCGAGTGTTAAAATGGATCAAAGGTCACTGTCCTGCAATCTCAGGATCAGGAAAAGCAGATCTGGCAGTGTGGTAGGAAAAAAGGTGTGATCTGCAATGGAATCCTGTATATAACTTCTGACTCCCCCAAAACTTAACTACTAATAGCCTACTATGGACTGGAAGACTTAACAGTAACATAAACTGTTGGTTAACACATATTTTGTATGTTACATGTATTATATACTCTATTCTTATAATAAGGTAAGCTGGAGAAAAAATGTTATTAAGAAAATCATAAGGAAGAGGAAATACATTTTACAATGCTGTACTATATGTGTCGATAATTGTAAGTTTATGTCATCTGCTTACAAGATGAATCATGCCTGCCAGTGTGTACATAAATATTTTCTTTTGTTAAACACTATAGATGTTACATATATTATTAACACTAGACGTCAAAAATGAAAATATAATGTGACAAAGAAATCCATATTCATTTACAGGTATAACGATTCATGCATTGAAAACAAAAAAGCAGCAATATGATTGCTTCACAGTAGCCTAGCCTAATGAATAAATCATTATAAAATTTCTATGGCATACGGTATTGCAGGCATATTCATATACAGTATTGGAAACACTGTTACTTTTTTTAAATATCACTTATCCATGATGATAAGCTGATACACAGTTTCTCCAATTAAGAGAGAGACACACACAGAAGGGGGATGGTCATACTGTACAATATTATAATTCTCTGAAAGCAAAGTTATAAAATAAAAAATTAACACATTATTAATTTTATATGAAATATTACTCATCTTATATCTATGTAAGGCTAGGCTATGCACTTCCATACAAGTCTTGCACATGGTGAATACTTAGACAATGAGAGTGACACAAAAATGTCTCGTACAGTTATTAGATTTTCACACAAAGGCATATACCATGCACAACAGATAGGTTTAGTAACTGTACTGCACTATCATGATGTACTATTTGTTCAATGAAAGTGAATCATTATAAAGGTCTTTTATCCTCTCTGTCTTTATGTTGAATAGGCTGAGAAGGGGGAGGAGGAAGACAGGTGGGTTGATCTTGCTGTCGCAAGGTGGCAGAGGCTGCAGGAAAGGTGGAGGAGGAAGTGGAGGCAGGCACACTCAGTGTAACTTTATAGAAATATGTTGTGATTTCTGTCTGACTCTTTTGCTTTTTTATTTCTCTAAAAATGTTTCTATATGGTACAGTCCTCCTCCCACTGTTTGTTCTAGTATCAGTGCCATATCATAGAAGGGTCCCTGCTATAAAATAAGTCAAAAGCAGTCTTGAATAATCAGAACCCTTCTGCCAGATTGCCTAATGTCAATTTGTTTTTTAGCTCTGCTTCTATGTCTTCCTCATCCTCTGGTACTCGTTCAGAAGTCCTCTCCATCAAGTTGTCTTCTCTTAATGCCTCTGATGTCATGTCTATTAGCTCTTCAATTTCTCCAAGATCCATATCTTGAAAACCCTTCATGCCCCAACCTTTTTTTTTTTTTTTTTTTTTTGGTCATATCTGCAATCTCTTCTATGATTTCTTTGATTGGCTCTCTCATAAACCTTGTGAAGTCGTGTACAACACATAGACAGTTTTCTTCAGCAGGAATTTACTGTTTCAGGTTTGATGGCTTTTGTGGCTTTTTCTATAGCAACAATGGCATTTTCAATGGTATAATTCTTCCAGGCTTTCATCATGTTCTATCAGGGTTCTCTTTTATGGTGGTGACAGTCCTTACTATTAAATATCCTTTGTAGCATTTTTTTCCTAGAATAGGACAATTTCCTCTACATTGAAAAACCCGTTTAGGCAGATATCCTTTCTCTTCAATTATTCTGTTAATGCCATGTGGGAATTTCATCAAACCATTCTTTGTTGGCATTAAATTCTCCAACTTTAGATCCTTTGCCTTCCTTTTGCTTTAAGATAGCATATAATGACCTTGCTTTTCCTTGAATCACATTAGGAGTATAAAGGTATGTCTTATAGCAATCCTGCACCCACATAAAAGCTGCATTTTCAATAAAGATTAAAAGGTATTTTGCAAAAAAGCGCAAGATTTTCACACTTGGAGTAGCTATGATGACAGCTTCATGAATTTCCCTTTTTTTTTTTTTTTAAGTAATTGTCCCTACACTGGATTCATTTATCTTGAAATGGCAGGCAACTGCAGCTGCAGACATGAATCTACAGCACATATCAAGCAATTCAACTTATAATATCATGACTTCTTTCTGTTTCTCGGGAGCACTTCATACCATTACTAGTGGCACTTCATATGGATCCCATGGTATTAGACAAGGTTTACTGTATTGCACTAAACAAGATGAAAAACACACAAGAACCATGAGACATCACTTTTTGCTGCAAAATGCAATGTACTGGAGCGATGAACTGCTCATGTGGAGATGATTAGCGTCACTTGGCATTTTAATGGGATACCCACAACATTTGAACTCAGTGCAATAGCAACAGGAGGTGGCGACAAAGTTATTTCAATAGTACTGTATAGAGTACAGTAAATTTCATGCAGTTGTGATTTAATACTGTATCTTTACATTTCTTTAATTTCCCTCAACTGCAGATGGTGCCATGTATGGCCTGAGTAAGTTTTGATAAATTTTAAGTCTTTATAATAGATTTATGTATATTTTATGGTAGCAAATGATAAAATAGACTAGTATCTATATATATTTTTGCATTTATGACATATCTAACTTTTCCTTAATTTTTTTTTAAATTTCTAGGCTGTGCAGTTCCCTGCGAGATTTTTCAAATTTTTCACAGTTACCCAAAATTTTTTTCAAATATATTTACTGAAAAAACATGCAAATAAATGGACCTGTGCAGTTCAAAACTATGTTGTTCAAGGATCAACTGTACTATCTATGTACCAGGGAAAATATGATGCGCCTGATAACACTCTCCATTTGACTTCCATTTTTCCCTCTAGATCTGCTTTCCCTCCTTTTCCACCTTGCTCTGGGCCCCAGAAAGGTATCCTGTGGAGTGTTTCTCTGGGCTCCCTGAGCTCTGGCTTCCAGTTAGATTTGATGATGGGAGGTAGTGGAAGAGATCATAACACAGAGGTTAAATAGGCCAGGAACTCATTCCTCTGGCACACTCCTCACTACAGGTCGGCTGTATTCCTTCATGAAAGCCACAGCTTCTGCCAGGCAGCCCTCTCCTGGGTTCCTGTGAACATTCCTTCCTGTTGCCTGTCCAGGCCCAGAGGTAGGAATGCTCTTCCTCCCCACTGCCTGCCTAGGCATTTTCCTAAAAACCTGCCTTGTCTACCTGACCCCTTCAATTAGTACTTTGAATGAGTGTGCAGGCTCTTTCCTAGCAAGCCCCTTATAAATGCACATATCATAATCTCATTTGTTTCTCTAAAAAATATATCAACTATTATCTCCATTTTACAAGAAACTGAAATTGAGAGAAGTTAAGCAACTTGCTCAAAGTCCAATAGTAGAGTCAAGATTCAACTACACTGTCTCCAGAAACATTTATTCAGGCAATAGGAAATGACATCCTCATCCCAGAAAGTTCTTAAAACTTGGAACCCTATGGGCTTTCATGACCACTTCAATAACTTTGTTGGGAATGGTTATTGATACAGGCCAATAATTGCC